CCTGCCCACATATATATACCATCATGTACCTGCCCAACATGTACCTGCCCACATATATATACCATCATGTACCTGCCCAACATGTACCTGCCCAACATGTACCTGCCTACATATATATACTATCATGTACCTGCCCAACATGTACCTGCCCAACATGTACCTGCCCAACATGTACCTGCCCAACATGTACCTGCCCAACATGTACCTGCCCACATATATATACCATCATGTACCTGCCCAACATGTACCTGCCCACATATATACCATGACCACTTGTCATAATACCAATCACAACTTTCTCCCAACAATTACCAACACGAAATTTAATAGTTTTTTTGGGAGATAATTGAGGAGAGAATTCATAACTCATTTGTGTGTTTTGTGTGTTTTTTTGTGTGTATGTGTGGCACGCCGCGAGTGCCCATTAAACGTAAATTATGCTCTGCTTGTCTGTTTGTCTCTGTTTTAGTTTTTTGTCCGTTTTTTGAAAGCGAAAGACTGATAATTCGGGCAGTGTCCAGAGGCTGTGTTTACAAGCGGAGTCTGGCTCCAGTCTTTCGAAAATTTCACCATTATTATTATTATTATTATTTGATGTTCTAATTATTATTTATGTAAACTACGATCTGAATTATTTTTGTCTTGTAATTGATTTGATTTAATTTTTGTTTTAGAAGAAATATTAGACTTGTTATCACTATAACAGTGGTAGTTATTGTGTTAAGTAGGGTTATTTAACCAGGGTTGTTACTATTATTATAAACAAGCTCGTAGTGCTTCGGGGCTCGTAAACTGTTTAATTAATGTAAACTGAGCCGTCATGATTGAGGAAAGATGTACAGGTTTCGTTAGTGGATAGTTCAGTGCTTGATGACTGCTGGCAAAGAGAGTTCAGCACACCACTGGAGGATGGAAGGAGCAGAGGAGACATGTTATCGACATACATATTTCTATACACACGAAATGAGGTGATTACGGGGCTATTCATGCCCGTGCCACCTCGTGGCTGGCTTAATTTTCATCAATCAATCAAATAATCACTTGTTAGGACGTTACAGTAGAACAAATAATACAATCTCGTTTTCTGGGGGACAGGAAGCCTGTGTATATATATACTTTAGGCTTGCATTGAGGTCACCCGACACTTGCCCCCCTCCCCCCCTAAAGGTGGAACTACACTGCCCCCCCCCCCCTTAAGGGTACAACCCCTACAACCGTTGTCTAACTACCCCAGGTACCTATTTCCTGCTAGGTGAACAGGTGCATTAGGGTGAATCAGATAGTAATGAGTGCTTCAGGGTGGGTGAGTACACACACACACACACGATAATAAACACAAAATATAACCACTTTCATTCATCTTTATTCAAGTGATATGGAAAAAATGCAAAACACTCATTCAACACACAAAGAGTTATTCATTCTCAAATATAACTTTGACGTCACTAGAGTAACATCGACAACAAAAGCAAAACTCCAACTTTATAATAGCAACAAAAAAGTGCAGAAAACATGATAAAAAAAACAACTTATGAACATCAATGAGTCATAATTACTCACGTCAGAGTGAATATAAAACAGCCCTTGACCCCCATATGGCAACACCAGCCCAAAAATTGCTCCATAATCTAACAAAAAAATACACAAATAATTTAAAAAAAGAGTAGGCGAACTCAATGACATGATTATTAGACACTAATTGATCAATATCTAAATTATATATAATGTAACCTAATGCAGAATTGCTATAATTAGTAATGATGAAGATCACGGGGTGGCAACACTCTCCAACTCAGGGTATCAAAGACTTTAATATTCTCTTTTATCGATTATTGGGAAAAAAAAAGTTTGACGAAAAAGACATCGTTTGGAATGTTAAAAGATGAGAGATTAGCGCGCTCGGAAAAAATCGCAGATTTGGAAATGGCTGAAATTGAATTGGCTTGGAAGCGCGAATTAAAATCAACGCTAAAATGATTATTTCGTATAATAATTATAATCCAAAATGATTATAACCCTTTCGATTATTGCAGGGTCGGCGTTCGATCCCCTAAGGTCATATGGTGGTTGGGTGCCGTTCATTCACTCTAGCCTCATATCCCAGCTCCTTGTCCTAATTTCCCAGCTCCTGGTCCTAATTTCCCAGCTTCTTGTCCTCATATCCCAGCTCCTGATCCTCATATCCCAGCTCCTTGTCCTCAAATCCCAGCTCCTGGTCCTAATTTCCCAGCTTCTTGTTTTCATATCCCAGCTCCTGGTCCTAATTTCCCAGCTTCTTGTCCTCATATCCCAGCTCCTGATCCTCATATCCCAGCTCCTTGTCCTCAAATCCCAGCTCCTGGTCCTAATTTCCCAGCTTCTTGTTTTCATATCCCAGCTCCTGGTCCTAATTTCCCAGCTTCTTGTCCTCATATCCCAGCTCCTTGTCCTCATATCCCAGCTCCTTGTCCTCAAATCCCAGCTCCTTGTCCTCATATCCCAGCTCCTTGTCCTCAAATCCCAGCTCCTGGTCCTAATTTCCCAGCTTCTTGTCCTCATATCCCAGCTCCTGGTCCTAATTTCCCAGCTTCTTGTCCTCATATCCCAGCTCCTGGTCCTAATTTCCCAGCTTCTTGTCCTCATATCCCAGCTCCTTGTCCTCATATCCCAGCTCCTTGTCCTCATATCCCAGCTCCTTGTCCTCATATCCCAGCTCCTTGTCCTCATATCCCAGCTCCTTGTCCTCATATCCCAGTTCCTGGCCCTCATATCCCAGCTCCTTGCCCTCATATCCCAGCTCCTTGTCTTCATATCCCAACTCCTTGCCCTCATATCCCAGCTCCTTGTCCTCATATCCCAGCTCCTGGCCCTCATATCCCAGCTCCTTGTCCTCATATCCCAGCTCCTGGCCCTCATATCCCACCATCTTGTCCACATATCCCTTCAAAGTCTTATAAACTCATAATGCTAAGTGCTTTCTCCTCATAATTACCTCACCTTACCTCTCTCCTCATAATTACCTCACCTTACATTCTCATAATTACCTCACCTTACCTTCTCATAATTACCTTACCTCTCTCCTCATAATTGCCTCACCTTACCTCTCTCCTCATAATTACCTCACCTTACCTCTCTCCTCATAATTGCCTCACCTTACCTCTCTCCTAATAATTACCTCACCTTCCCTTCTCATAATTACCTTACCTCTCTCCTCATAATTGCCTCACCTTACCTGTCTCCTCATAATTACCTCACCTTACCTTCTCATAATTACCTCACCTTACCTCTCTCCTCATAATTGCCTCACCTTACCTCTCTCCTCATAATTACCTCACCTTACCTTATCATAATTACCTCACCTTACCTCTCTCCTCATAATTGCCTCACCTTACCTCTCTCCTCATAATTACCTCACCTTACCTTCTCATAATTACCTCACCTTACCTCTCTCCTGATAATTACGTCACCTTACCTCTCTCCTCATAATTACCTCACCTTACCTTCTCATAATTACCTTACCTCTCTCCTCATAATTGCCTCACCTTACCTCTCTCCTCATAATTACCTCACCTTACCTCTCTCATAATTGCCTCACCTTACCTCTCTCCTCATAATTACCTCACCTTACCTTCTCATAATTACCTTACCTCTCTCCTCATAATTGCCTCACCTTACCTCTCTCCTCATAATTACCTCACCTTACCTCTCTCATAATTGCCTCACCTTACCTCTCTCCTCATAATTACCTCACCTTCCCTTCTCATAATTACCTCACCTTACCACTCTCCTCATAATTGCCTCACCTTACTTCTCTCCTCATAATTACCTCACCTTACCTTCTCATAATTACCTCACCTTACCTCTCTCCTGATAATTGCCTCACCTTACCTCTCTCCTCATAATTACCTCACCTTACCTTCTCATAATTACTTCACCTTACCTCTCTCCTGATAATTGCCTCACCTTACCTTCTCATAATTACCTCACCTTACCTCTCTCCTCATAATTACCTCGCCTTACCTTCTCATAATTGCCTCACCTTACCTCTCTCCTCATAATTACCTCACCTTACCTTCTCATAATTACCTCACCTTACCTTCTCATAATTACCTCACCTTACCTCTCTCCTCATAATTACCTCACCTTACCTCTCTCCTCATAATTACCTCACCTTACCTTCTCATAATTACCTCACCTTACCTCTCTCCTCATAATTGCCTCACTTTACTCCTCTTTCGCATAAATTGATATCCAATATATATTTTGTATATAATTTTCCAGTTCGCTGGAAGCAACAGTGTGTGTGATCAAGCTCCCAACAAGCATACCCTGGCCCCCAGCCTGGGCTTGGAGAGTAAAGGAACTGTCAGAACCCACTCCAGGTATATTCAAGGGACACTCCAGGTATACTTAAGGTATACTCAAACTTTTCTCCAGGTATTAATGATATAATCTTCAGTTCGTTCCTTGGTAGTGAGTACTCTCTGAAGCTTTCCTTGGCTTCTGAGTACTCTCTGAAGCTTTCCTTGGCTTCTGAGTGCTCTCTGAAGCTTTCCTTGGCTTCTGAATACTCTCTGAAGCCTTCCTTGCCTTCTGAGTACCCTCTGAAGCTTTCCTTGGCTTATGAGTACTCTGAAGCTTTCCTTGGTTTGTGAGTACTCTCTGAAGCTTTCCTTGGCTTCTGAGTACTCTCTGAAGCTTTTATTGGCTTCTGAGTACTCTCTGAAGCTTTTATTGGCTTCTGAGTACTCTCTAAAGCTTTCCTTGGCTTCTGAGTACTCTCTGAAGCTTTCCTTGGCTTCTGAGTACTCTCTGAAGCTTTCCTTGGCTTCTGAATACTCTCTGAAGCTTTTATTGGCTTCTGAGTACTCTCTGAAGCTTTTATTGGCTTCTGAGTACTCTCTATAAAGCTTTCCTTGGCTTCTCAGTACTCTCTGAAGCTTTCCTTGGCTTCTGAGTACTCTCTGAAGCTTTCCTTGGCTTCTGAGTACTCTCTGAAGCTTTCCTTGGCTTATGAGTACTCTGAAGCTTTCCTTGGTTTCTGAGTACTCTCTGAAGCTTTCCTTGGCTTCTGAGTACTCTCTGAAGCTTTCCTTGGCTTCTGAGTACTCTCTGAAGCTTTAATTGGCTTCAGAATACTCTCCGAAGCTTTGCTTGGCTTCTGAGTACTCTCTAAAGCTTTCCTTGGCTTCTGAGTACTCTCTGAAGTTTTGCTTGGCTTCTGAGTACTCTCTGAGGCTTTTCTTGGCTTCTGAGTAGTCTCTGAAGCTTTGCTTGGTATCTGAGTACTCTCTGAAGCTTTCCTTGGCTTCTGAGTACTCTCTGAAGCTTTAATTGGCTTCAGAGTACTCTCTGAAGCTTTGCTTGGCTTCTGAGTACTCTCTAAAGCTTTCCTTGGCTTCTGAGTACTCTCTGAAGCTTTGCTTGGCTTCTGAGTACTCTCAGAAGCTTTGCTTGGCTTCTGAGTACTCTCTGAAGCTTTCTTCGAGGCTTCAAGGAAGTACTCTAAGGATAAGATATTGCTATAACGCTTACAGACACGAGCACACGCACTCAAGCGCCCCACAGACACACGCACTCAAGTGCCCCACAGACACACGCACTCAAGTGCCCCACAGACACACGCACTCAAGTGCCCCACAGACACACGCACTCAAGCGCCCCACAGACACACGCACTCAAGTGCCCCACAGACACACGCACTCAAGCGCCCCACAGACACACGCACTCAAGCGCCCCACAGACACACGCACTCAAGTGCCCCACAGACACACGCACTCAAGCGCCCCACACACACGCACTCAAGAGCCCCACAGACACGCACACAAGTGCCCCACAGACACACGCACAAGTGCCCCACAGACACACACACAAGCGCCCCACAGACATGCACACAAGTGCCCCACAGACACACGCACTCAAGCGCCCCACAGACACACGCACTCAAGTGCCCCACAGACACACGCACTCAAGAGCCCCACAGACACACGCACTCAAGTGCCCCACAGACACGCACTCAAGCGCCCCACAGACACACGCACTCAAGCGCCCCACAGACACACGCACAAGTGCCCCACAGACACACGCAATCAAGTGCCCCACAGACACGCACACAAGTGCCCCACAGACACACACACAAGTGCCCCACAGACACACACACAAGTGCCCCACAGACACACACACAAGTGCCCCACAGACACACACACAAGCGCCCCACAGACACACACACAAGTGCCCCACAGACACACACACAAGTGCCCCACAGACACACACACAAGTGCCCCACAGACACGCACTCAAGTGCCCCACAGACACACACACAAGTGCCCCACAGACACACGCACAAGTGCCCCACAGACACACACACAAGCGCCCCACAGACACACACACAAGCGCCCCACAGACACACGCACACAAGTGCCCCACAGACACGCACTCAAGCGCCCCACAGACACACCCACAAGTGCCCCACAGACACACACACAAGTGCCCCACAGACACACACACAAGTGCCCCACAGACACACACTCAAGCGCACCACAGACACACACACAAGTGCCCCACAGACACACACACACAAGTGCCCCACAGACACACACACAAGTGCCCCACAGACACACACACACAAGTGCCCCACAGACACACACACAAGTGCCCCACAGACACACACACAAGCGCCCCACAGACACACACACAAGTGCCCCACAGACACACACACAAGTGCCCCACAGACACACGCACACAAGTGCCCCACAGACACGCACTCAAGCGCCCCACAGACACACACACAAGTGCCCCACAGACACGCACACAAGTGCCCCACAGACACACACACAAGCGCCCCACAGACACACACACAAGTGCCCCACAGACACGCACACAAGCGCCCCACAGACACACACACAAGTGTCCCACAGACACGCACACAAGTGCCCCACAGACACACACACAAGCGCCCCACAGACACACGCACAAGTGCCCCACAGACACGCACACAAGTGCCCCACAGACACACACACACAAGCGCCCCACAGACACACACACAAGTGCCCCACAGACACGCACACAAGTGCCCCACAGACACACACACAAGCGATCCACAGACACACACACAAGTGCCCCACAGACACGCACTCAAGCGCCCCACAGACACACACACAAGTGCCCCACAGACACACACACAAGCGCCCCACAGACACACACACAAGCGCCCCACAGACACACGCACACAAGCGCCCCACAGACACGCACTCAAGCGCCCCACAGACACACACACCAGCGCCCCACAGACACACACACAAGGGCCCCACAGACACACACACAAGTGCCCCACAGACACACACACAAGTGCCCCACAGACACACACACAAGAGCCCCACAGACACGCACACAAGTGCCCCACAGACACACACACAAGTGCCCCACAGACACACACACAAGCGCCCCACAGACACACACGCAAGTGCCCCACAGACACACACACAAGCGCCCCACAGACACACACACATGTGCCCCACAGACACACACAAGCGCCCCACAGACACACACACAAGCGCCCCACAGTCACACACACAAGCGCCCCACAGACACACACACAAGTGCCCCACAGACACACACACAAGTGCCCCACAGACACACACCCACACAACCTCTACCATATACGTACATCCCCTCCTATCGACCCGGGGGGCTAATCAAGCAAGATCAAAGTTGATTCTCCACCGCCTGTTCTATCAATCCGCTGACTCTCGGAATAGGCGAATCGCCCCAATCAGATTTGGTGTGGCCGCTGGAACACACTCCAGGTCGCAGAGGCGAGTGTCAATTGCATTATTATTTGATTATCTGCCTCTCTGCTACCGCACCAAGCGACCATTTTTTTTTTAGCATTATTTTGACTCCCACACAATAGTGTTTTGATGCGATTATTTCCATTCTTCTTCTTCTTCTAATATAATATCTGATATTATTGTTATTATTATTATTATTAATTATATTTTCATGAAGCCTTTCTGTTTACAGGTCAAACGCCTCGTCAGCTTGGTCGACGTCACACCTGGGTACGTTGATTGGAGGTTACATCCTTCAGGGGGCCAGGTGTACATGGGGCCAGGTGTACATGGGGCCAGTTGTACATGGGGCCAGGTGTACATGGGGCCAAGTGTAAATGGGGGCCAGGTGTACATGGGGGCCAGGTGTACATGGGGGGTAGGTGTACATGGGCCAGGTGTAAATGGGAACCAGGTGTACATGGGGCCAGGTGTACATGGGGGCCAAGTGTACATGGGGGCAGGTGTACATGGGGCCAGGTGTACATGGGGGGCAGGTGTACATGAGGGGTAGGTGTATATGAGGGGTAGGTGTACATGAGGGGTAGGTGTACATGGGGCCAGGTGTACATGGGATCAGGTGTACATGAGGGGTAGGTGTACATTGGGGGTTGGTGTACATGGGGGGTAGGTGTACATGGGGTCAGGTGTACATGAGGGGTAGGTGTACATTGGGGGCAGGTGTACATGTGGGTAGGTGTACATGGGGGGTAGGTGTACATGGGGGGCAGGTGTACATGGAGGGCAGGTGTACATGAGGGGTAGGTGTACATTGGGGGTTGGTGTACATGGGGCCAGGTGTACATGGGGACCAGGTGTACATGGGGCCAGGTGTACATGGGGCCAGGTGTACATGGGGCCAGGTGTACATGGAGCAGGTGTACATGGGGGCCAGGTGTACATGGGGCCAGGTGTACATGGGGCCAGGTGTACATGGGACCAGGTGTACATGGGGGGTAGGTGTACATGGGGGTAGGTGTACATGGGGCCAGGTGTACATGGGGCCAGGTGTACATGGGGCCAGGTGTACATGGGGGCCAGGTGTACATGGGGGCCAGGTGTACATGGGGCCAGGTGTACATGGGGGCAGGTGTACATGGGGGGGGAGGGTAGGTGTACATGTCTACCACGTTCAACTGCCACAATTGAAGTAATCTAAGTACCTAAGTGTGACGTCGGCCCAACTAACGAGGCGTTTAACCTGTTATTATCTTCAGGTGTCAGAAACTAGGCTTATTTGTTTCTGCCACGACTAGCAATCGAACTTGGGCCCTGAGGTCTACACTTCCAAAGCTGTTTCCATCCCTGTTGTTGTTGTTGTTGTTGAGTTAGGGGCGACGACGACCGTGGGATCGGATGCGCCCCGGCGTACCCGTGAAGGGTGAATCGCAAAGCCAGGAAAGGCGAAATGCCAAGCCAAAACGCGAAACGAGTGACGCCAAGCACTAGAAACTAATATGCCACACGGCAAAGCTACGCACAAAGGGAGAGGCAGAAGCACATAATAGAACAGGGCAAACAAACAGCCAGAAGGGCACACAGCATGTCATAGAGCAAATACACAGGAAATCAGAGCACATACTTGCCCGGGAACTTGGCCCGCGGGAACCTTACATTGAACGCCTCCCAGAGCACCCATTGCCAAGGGTCTCGCCCATCCACCGGGGACGCCATAACATCCGGAACCGGGGCAACAAACACCTGCAAACTGGGGACCCAGATGGTAGAACTCAGGAGGCGAGAAGTCGCCACTCGCCCCCACAGGAAGGGAACTTGCCCCCCACGAAAGCACTCCGGTTCGTCAGACAGCAGTAACTCGGCAATCTTCGACCAGTGACCCGGTGGCATCACAGACGCCGGCAACACGTCCCCCAGGGCCCCAACGCGCACCCGCACCACAGGGGTACCCGCGGCCCCGGGCACACCACCAGACGACAGCAGGGAACCCGGACGGCGCGCATCCTTCCGTAACGTTACCACCAGGCCACGCCCAGCACCAGAGTCCACACCATCCCTGGCAGTGGAAGCCACCACCCCCCGCTGTGGAGAGTCCCACGGTGGAGAAAGAACCGAAGGCACGTCTGAGACACAGGCACCAGCACCGGCAGGCACATGGACCTCCTCCACCACGAACCGCGGAGACATCGACGCATCCGTATCCACACTGTCAACACCCGAAGCCCCACAGTCACTGAAGTCACCAACGTCGGCCCAGGAAGAAGACGAACGCCGGGAACGTTTGGGCACCGGCCGGATATCGTCAGAGCCGGTAAGTGACCCAGAAACACGGGTACCACGAGCCGAAGGAACCGACGCCAGGACGGCAGCAGCCTCTACCACAGGGGGAACCGAGCCACACACAGCAGGAGGCTCCGCAGTCACCCCAGCACCCAGCACATCCGGGACCCGAGTCACGGACACAGGGCCAGGCGCAGCATCAGAAGACGAGGGAGAAGACAGTGACGTCACACAGGGAGCTCCAGGAAGGCCCATGGGAGCAGCTGGGACAGCGACAGGATCAGGCAGACCAACCGACGGTACCTCAAGAACCGGAGGAGGGACGGCAACAACCGGAGGAGGGACGGCAACAACCGGAGGAGGGACGGCAACAACCGGAGGAGGGACGGCAACAACCGGAGGAGGGACGGCAACAACCGGAGGAGGGACGGCAACAAC